CCACAGACTGGATTACAGTCAATCAATCAGTCCATTACAGATACTCCCAATCTCAGTTTATTATGTGTTAGTTACTGAGGTCTACTCGGGCAAGGGACCTCGGGGACAAGAAAAGTCATGGTCAAGACCAAAGACCTCTTATCTTGCTCCATGTAATATCTTGGCTCATGGGGTGAGGATAATCATGAGAAAGGTGTTGGATCAGCCCAAAACTACAGGCCAGTCTTAAGTTTGCCAGTAAACATCTAAATGATTGAGAGAAGGTTTGGGGGGAAATGCTGTGGTCATTTGAAATCAAAAACTCTGTGGCATGAACTGAGCCCACTGTGTTTGGAGGAAGAGAAATGCTGAGTGTAACCCACAGAACACCATCCCCACTGTCAAGCACAGAAGTGGAAACATTATACTGTGGGGCGCCTCGCCACATTGAGGCGGCCAGTAGATGGAGCCATGTACTGCAAAATCTTGGACAAGAACCACTTTCTCTCAGGCAGAAGACTGAAGATGTGTCATCGATGGGTCTTCCAGCATGACAATGGCCTAAAACATACCACTGATGCATACTTTAGGTGTGGCTAAAGAAGAAGCACAAGGACATGGAGTGGGGCTAAGGCAGTCTCCAAACCTCAGTCCTGAAGAAAATCTGTGGAGGGAGCTGAAGCTTAAAGTTACCAAACAGCAGCAAAGAAATCTAAAGAATTTAGAGAGTTTGTGGAAGGAGGAGTGGAAAAAAATCCCTCCTGAGATGTGAGCAAACCCAGTGACCAACTACAAGAAACATATTACCGCAGTGCTGGGCAATAAAGGTTTCTCCACCAAGTACTAAGTTGTGTTTGAGATCAAATACTTACTTCACTCAGTGACATATAAATCAATTCATTTATTTTAGCGAATACATTTTTTATTCAATTTTGGTTGATATTCTGTCTCATTACATCAAAATGAAAATACTTAAACAAATTAGAGACTGATCATTTAATATAAGTGAACAAACTTACAAACTCAGCAGGGGATCAAATGATTATTTCCCCCCAGATAATAGCTTCTTTTTATGACCATCTTTTTTCTTTTTTGTCTTTTTGAAAAGCTGCTGGCCAACAAAGTTTTATTCATAGATGTTTTTTGCATTAGATAAATTTGCAAACTGAACTCCACGTGTCCCGTCTCTCAGTTTCTTTGGCAGAGTTTACTTTTCATTTTTAATGGCTTGTTGTTTTTTTAATTGACTTATATAGAAACCCACACAAGTTTAACTTTAAAAACAACTTATGTAACAAAAAAATGAACCAACTTAATGGATCAACATAAATAAAAGGATCATTTCAGTGTTTTTCATCTATTCTTTATGGAGTTTTTCCAAAACATTTTCAAACGTTCAGATCTGTCTTTTATTTTCTTGTTTTAACATTATACATGGTGAACTAAAAACCCTGGAACATGGTTTGAAACATTGAAGGCAGCATGTTTCGCTTTTGGGCAGCTTTTATTTTGAAACTGCAACACTAAGCAGTACTTCTCCACACCTGTGGTGCACGCGCTGCGCAGACCCCGTCGGGCATGCGCGGCAGAGGAGGGGGCTGACTTGAGCAGAAAGCGCGGAGAGACAAGTCGAAAGGAAAAGACAGACGATCTCTGATAAAGCAAAGCAGACAGAAAGAATTTACCTGAGCTCTGCTGGACAGGTAATTACCGCAGTTTGGTTTAATATTTTGTTCTAAACAGTGTAACTAAGCGAACACAAATACAGGTGATATATTTTCATACAGTTATGTTCCAGTCGGGTTAATGTTTGTGTGTCCTCACCGTAAAGACTGCAGGTTATTGGAAAGTGCCTGAAAATATGTCTGCAAAGCACCCCTCAGTTGAAATATTAATTTTGGCTCGCTATCTACTCTAGAAAATAATTTGCGCGTCTACGTCGCCATTTACGGTTCAATGTGTGGCCGTAAGCAAGGAATTCCTGGTGCTCTGAGGGTCATCTAGTAAACGCCAACCGTCATTTAAAAATAACCAAAAACAGCTGTCGTTACTTTAATGTAGTCTTTTAAATCATTAAATGATAAAATAAAATCAAAATCAAAATCAATATAACAGCTTCAAAAAATTCAATATCTAAACCAGTCAAATTTTTCTTCAGTAAATATTTTGAAACTTATCAGAGGCACTGGAGGACATGTTGAACAATAATATTGTGTACGTTTTTTAGAGTATTACTGGATATTTTTAAAACAGGCAATTTTAATCATTTACTTGC